CGCGCGGCCCAAGGCCTCCCACAGCCCCAGCCCCTTTCTGCCTCCACAGCTCTGCTAAAGGCCCTGGGAGAGAAAGCAACCAGGAGACTTCCGTTTCCCCTTCTTCTTCCCCTTCCCTATCCTCTTGTCCTTCATATTATCTTTCTTCTCCTACTTCTCCTTCCCCTTCTCCTACCTTTGCCTCTCTCCCTTCCCCTTCCCTTTCCTCCTCTTCCCCTTCCCCTTCTCTTTGCTCTTTCATCTTCCATCTGTCCTTCCACTTCTCAGGCCCAACACACACCAACACACTCGCTGCTGCTCGCTTCTCTGCTGCAGACACAAAATCGCACAAATCACAGCCTGATTACTGGAGTAGGTGTCTTTGCAGGGCGGCTGGTCACGCTACCATTTTAATCAGGGTCACCCAGAACTGCCTGCCCACCACCGTCTCCAGGCAGCTTTGGCATGTCTCCAAGGACGGGGATACCACAACCTCTCGTGGCAACCTGTGCCAGTGCTTGGTCACCCTTACAGGGAAAAAGTGTTTTGAGATGTTGAGGTGGTGCCTCCTGTGTACCAGCTGGTGCCCATTGCCTCTTCTGCCACTGGACACCTCTGAAAGAGCCTGGCTCCATCTTATTGACGCCTTCTCTTCACACATGATCCCCCTGATCCTCCTCAGGGCCAGCAGGAACAGTTCCAGCCCTCTCAGATTCTCTCCAGGGGAGGCATACAATTATAGAATGTTTACATTCTAGGATTGGAAGAGACCTCAAAGATCATGTAGTTGCAACCCCCCTTCCATTGGCAGGCTCCACTACATCGTGTTGCTCAAAGCCTCATGCAACCTGGCCTTGAACACTTCCAGGGGTGGTACAGCCACAAATTCTCTGGGCAACCTGTTCAGTCCCCAATTATTTTTCATACTCTCTGTCCCTTCAGGATCTGCGTGTGGCCATTTGCTCCACTCTCTCCAGTAGCCCCACATCTCTGTGGTGTTGGAGAACTCAGTGCTGGAAACAACTCTGCAGGGGTGGCCTCACCGATGCTGAGCGGGTGGAAGGATCCCCTCCATCCACCTGCCGGCCACACTCCTACTTCCTTCATGTGCAACCCAGGACAATGCTGGCGGCCTCTTCCCAAGGCACTTTGCCACCACCTACTTTCTTCGCTGTCTGTCTCCCAGCACCTCCAGCACCTTTCCTGAGAAGCTCCTCTTCAGCCACCGATGGCCATTTCCCAAGTGCAGGCTTTAATGCTATCTCTCATCCAACCTCCTCTTTGCGGACTCCCACAGATGCTGCTGTGCTTCTGCGGAGCTGAGGGAGCCGGTGGAACTGATGCCAATTGTGGGCTGAGAAGACCAGGCAAAGGAGCGCTGCCAGTGCCTGTCCTGCTCCCCGCCCTCTGCTCTTTCTCCAGCTCCTGCAGACCCAATCCCAAAGGCTCTCTCCCCTGACTGCTGCCGGTACCATCCCTCTCCCAACATCACCACTCC